TCAATGATTGGCTAATGAACTTACGATCTCTTAACTTTTTTGAAAGTATGGACCCAGGATCTTGTGGCCGTTAGTTGTTGTTCAGGATGAAACAGTCCCAGGCCACGATGATGTCGGTCTTCGTCTCTTCGTCGTCCCTGAGGACCGGGAGCCAGGTCGTCTCAATCCACGATCGTGCCGGTCTTCGTCGTCCTGAGGGCCGGAAGCCAGGTCGTCCCAAACCACGATCGTGCCGGTCTTCGTCGTCCTGAGGGCCGGAAGCCAGGTCGTCCCAAACCATGATCGTGCCGGTCTTCGTCGTCCTGAGGGCCGGGAGCCAGGTCGTCCCAAACCAAGATGGTGACGGTCTTTGTCGTCCTTGGGCCGTCAATCGCCGATCAAATCGTATTGGATCCACGTAAGTACTGCTCGTCTTCTTTTAGTAAGTAACTTGTACTGTGCAATTTTTAGGTTTTCTTATTGAACGAAGTGCCAACATCCTGACTGGTTGAATTCTAGGATGGTGGAGTATAGGAGTTTATTGGAAATTTTCTACGTAATGTATGCAATATGTAATTTTATGTATATATGTAATTATATGAATTTTATGTATATATGTAATTATATGAATTTGTGTAAGTTTATGTAATTTTTAAGATTTAATATATACCAAAGTGCCAACTTCCTGACTGGTGGAATTCTAGGATGGTAGAGTTTAGAAGTTGATTGGAAGTTTCCCTACTTAATGTATTTTTTAGGTTTTCCTATTTAACGAAATGTCAACTTCCAGGCAGGTTATCTAAATAATAAAAAAATTATAATTGGGGTAATATAACATAATATAATATAATAAAATATAATGTAATGTGATATAATTTAATATAATATAATACAATATAATATAATATCAAAGACGGGAAACCACGGAAAATACCGAATTTGCCGAACATTTTTTTTAGCCAAAAACCCATCATGAAGCGGTTATTTCCACAATGTTCATATAGATAAGACGGACAATTTGATTATCAAAATGCTACAAAAGATTAAATATAATTAAGGGTTACTTCAAATCAAGAGAAGGCGACAGTGCCAGAAAAACTCCCTCATATTGACCGGTTTATATGTCACCAAATTTCGGCCAGTGATTAATAACTCAGGCGAATGGTAAGATATGAATGTGACAGTTCGCTGGCTGCTTATAATATTTGGAGCACTTCAATGGGTGAGCGAGAGATCTCGTGAGAAGCTGCAGCCACAACGACGCAGTATTGTTGTTGGACGAATGCAGGGACCCACAAGAAACAACTGCTGTATTATTTGAGAGGCTGCCCGATTGTCCGATTATCATGATCGCAGAAAGTGAAAGCCTGGAGAAAATGTTTACAAAGCTAATGACATGCGCCAACATGAAGATTGATGGTTATTCTCAAGCGTTGAGGTAACTCAAGATATAATAGGGACTGATATATGTAGTTGCTTTGCGTGTTGAGAAAACTGAATAAAAATCCTTCAATTGGTTGCAAGGTTTTCTCACCAAATTCAATGACTTGCCTGCCATTGTTCCCTTGAATAAACATCTAAATTGTCCGGTGCTTGGATCTATAAAGGATCCGACCAACAACACTCCAACGATTGCACCATTCAAATAAGGAACAATAATATTACTTGCTTCGGCGGTACATATACGATAGCAATAGCTACTTCAGCGCTAGAAAGCAGCCTAGCTTCCCTATGATATGATGATACAACTTTGTATGGAGGCAAACCTATCTGTTATACATACGTAAAATAACCACGATAAAAAAAAGTTATATTTCATAGTCTCACATCCGAAATGAAGTTACACGTAGATTGTATCAAGATATCTGGCCTGTTTCTCGTGGTAAAGAAAGTAAATTCAGGCAAAGTCTTCAATAAATGCTTCACCTGTAGGAATTTCAACCGCGTGCATCAATAAAGTATTGCATGATGATTAACTGCACACCCATAAGGAGGAACACAATGATGAGAACGAGCGACAACAAAGAAATTGATAAAGCGTGGCAACTAAATATTCACGCGTCACAATTTCACTATGCAGTAACAGTGGTGTTGAAAACAACCTGATGGAGAAAATAAACGGAGAGTAATTGCTGAAACATGTCAATTCCAGTGGAGCTCGAAGCGAGCAACATCTTGACTCCGTTCTACGCAGCCCCGGATACCTGCTCTGGCGCTTTCTTCATAGATGGCAAACGTTATCTAACTCGGAAGATGACTATAATCAGTTCCAGGAGGAGCATGGCGTTCTGACACGGTCGACTTCAGCATCCATTTTTCTCATAAGAAATGACAAATACAATATTTTATTCCAATTAATTATGATATTATGAAATTATCTGCCGTGTCCTGTTCTTCTGCAGCAGGTGAGCGTCATCAGCTACAACTTCGTGCCTTGGGCGCGATTAAATTAATTAAATTACAATCAATCTGTTCTGTATTTGAACTATCAGATGACCCGACTTCTTTATTTTGAATTTTATTGAAGTTTTCAAGGTCTTAGAACAGTTTATATTCAATAATTTTTGTCATTAAATAGATTTTGCTAGCTTCAGCAATTACCATTGTGAGAATCCAGCTTTAGTATGTTTATTTGATAAGTAGACCATTGATGCTTTAATTTTATTTTTATTCCTATTAATTAAACTGAAATCGCATTAGCCATGAATAGTGAATAAATTTTCGATTCATGGTTACAAGAAGTCTTATAAACGTGTGTTTTTTCCTGGAAACTGTGGTATACAGAAATGCATACAATTAAGAACTCCTGGATCCCTGCGTATTTATGTAATCTGGCACGTGACACAGGAATGCGGTTAGAAAGATTTTGGGGTCCCAAACATGTACATTTTAACTGATGAAAGAGCTGATTAAAAGTGTTGAGAGCAACAGATTAATCAATTTAACTGAAATTAATTGAGAGAGCAACAGATTAATCTATCTAACTGAAATTAATTGAGAGAGCAATAGATTAATTAATTGAGAGATTGAGAGCAACAGATTTATTAATCAATTGGAAGGTCGAATGATTCCACAGCGAAAGAAGACGTCTTCCACATCATCAGCACGTCAGGACGTCTTCCTCCAAGACGTCCAGTGCGAAATAATTAACGCTAGCCAGATCTACGAACAGCTTGGGTGCCTGAATTTATTTTCGATTACTCGTTTACGTGTAATTGCATCCAGCCTGAGGCATTGATTTTCATTAGAAACTCTTCTCCTCTATCAGACAAGTTCTCAAAAGTGCTATTAAAAGTGCTCTATTTGCGGAAAACCGTATAGTGTCATTTCCTACATCAAATTCAGTCGAAATGCTTTGATTTTAGAGCATCTTTATGATTTGGTTAGAATAACATATTCACGTACTCGCTTTCACAAAACTCTAGCTAGGTCGTACTGCTAAAAATAATTACGAGTTCGATACTATGTCAGTCACTCAATGACGCCTTCTCAGGCTAAATCCAGTAATCGCAGACGAGAAATCGACCGGTTCAAGTACTTACTCTGCTACTTTCTTTACTGCTACTTACGAGGTTTGTTAGTATATATATGTATGGCCCTAGCTAACTGGAGGAACTTTTGGCTTCGTACTTGGTTGCGCATATTCCCTTCTGCTCACTTGCGCATCCTGCTAGGGTTTTTCATGGCTCCTGCAGCGAGAACGAACAACCAGTTCAAACTTATGGTCCAAATAATGAGGGTAAACAACAACAGCAAACGTCAACAGCAAACGGAAATTGAAACAATTGCATGGTAGTTGGCACTAAACTCTCGCTGGACTTAAATGGGAAAAAGTATAACAATGGGCCTGACATCATATATAGTTTTTTACGGTTTTATCCTTCATCTTATTCACCATTATGGATGTAAATTAAATATTTTCGGTTCAAAATAATATGTGTTAACTACTATGGTATCGATATCTCAAATTTCGAACAGAAAAAAAATACTTGAAAATTTTTGTGTATGCTTAGCTGGAAAAGTGTTTGCCATAACATTGACTTCATATTTAGAGTAAATTATTTTTACTCAATTGAATATCCCATTGCTTGAAAACTGGTGAAGCTGATGATGGGCGTCAGTCCAATTCACCGACAAAGCGGAGGTAGTCATGTGTGATCACAGCATTGATGAAAAGACAGATGAAAGCGAAGTTGTTTATTGATTAATGAGGTGTGAGAGATACAAGTTATCCTGGTAGGAATACTATTTCCCTTTCTATGCTATCAGTTTGTACGTAACAAATTTTCTCTAGTAACTTATCTAATTTGCGTAACTCAAAAAATTAATAATGTCAATATTAAAATTATTAAAGTAATCTCAATATTATACACCAAAATCATAGAAATATATATATACCTATAGATATTCATAATAATGTTTTACAACTAAATTGCCGATTGAAATAAAATCTAAAATCATGATTTTAATCCGTAAGTAATATTATAGAATGAAAAAAATTTAAAAGATAGTAGGCAAGTAATTTACGAGAGACGAAAAATCATTACCATAATTAAGTGAAAATAATTGGAAGTTAATTTTATTCTAATTTTTTTAGATCAAAAAAATTTAATCAAAAAGTACCAATACTTTTTTTCAAGTCCACAATAGTCTTCATCTGGTGTAATTCGAAAAGAAACATCATCACCGGATGCAAAAGTCTCGGTATCAGCCTGAATTTATAGAGCAGCTAGCAGCTGAGACGTACGTCAGAATAAGTGCATGACGCTATATTGTCAACAATAAGAGTTAAGACCAAATCTCGCTTCGTATCACATTTATTGAGTAAAAACATTTGCGTGCTTCATGCAAGAATGCACAACTCATACGCAAACAAAATAATTAGTTAAAAAAACAACCAAGAATTTACACCGTATTCACAGAATTTATAGGCAGACAATTCATTCAAAATAAACAATATATGCAGATACTGTAGGTTCACTAGTTACTCAGATTGAGGTCAGTTCGATTAAGGTCAGTTCGTAACATATAAGGTAAATGCCATATCGAATACTTATGGGGACTATCAAGTGAATGGAACTTATACTCGTATTTTGGATATCTCAGAATCGATTCAAATAAGCTACTTTAAAGGTTAAGCTTCCTGCATCACCGTAATTTAATATAAAGTGAAAAATAAGTATTACAAATTTTCATTTCGTCTTCCAAAATATAAATAATAAATAACCATCTACGCATGTTGAAACCAGATCCAGATCACAAAAAGGCCGTGTAATGTTTTACAACCAGTTAATTTTAATTGGTTTATTGTGTTTCTAATTCGTCATTCATAAATTCATAATCAAAGACCATTGAACCAACCTTTTCCCGATATAAAATTGCTGATTTTACTTTTGTTTTCAAATGAGGTTTTCTTTTTGTTTCATGAAAGTGAAAAAGGAATCACTTGAACTGAAGTTGCTCCCATGTAAATAAAATGTTATAACTATTATTTTCTGTCCGAATCGTTGTGGGAAAGTTCCCAACAAATAAACTAATCCATAATTATGATGTGATTATTACATAAGCATTACAAAAGACATTAAGTATGGCAGGCGCGGTTAGAAAATGCCCATGTTCATAAAAAAACGGAATGAAAACAGGGAAGATAAGTTTAGAAATTACGCATTTCCATAGAAATTATCATCCCTAACTCTGAATTATGTTTCGCACATTCTCTAATGGCTAATAATCTTACTGAAAAACAACAACATGAAGGGAATGCAATATATGAAGAATCTTTCCACAAAAAATTGAACATAAATGAGAATTGAACATAAATGGCAGGATTTCAATCATACAAACGATAAGTATTTGAGCAAATGTGAGAATTGAACATAAATGACAGGATTTCAATCATGCAAGCGATAAGTATTTGAGCAAATGTACATTTTCATATTTATCTTTTTAACAATTGAGTCAAAGTGACAAAAAATACGATAAGGAAACGTTGTCAAAATTTAGATATATTCAAAAACATGCCGGCAGAAAAAGCGTAAACGATCAAAAGAATTGAAAGTTGTTAAACAACTTAAAAAACTAATTTGTACACGTGTTATTCTCACAGCCCAACACATAAAACTACTGTCATTATTAACGTATTTTTCAAAAGTTGGAATGTTTGAGATGGAATGTTGAAGATTTTCGAACAAAATATATTGAGCAATAATGAGGTAGAATAACTTCTAATGAATTTACTTCACGAACCTTCTAAGGTGATGCACATCATTGTTTTTTTATGATCACAAATGTTTTTTAGCACGCACGTCCGACGCACTTAATTTTGGGACGTCTGTCGGATACCAAGCTTCGAATGGACTATCATGATCCCTTCCCTCAAGAACGTAGCCTACAACACTTTCTGCTGTAACATTATCAGCCGCAAGCCACCAGATAGATTACACCCATTGAATTGGATCAATCAGCCCACAGTAGCCTGCGTAGAATGGCCCAGCATCGTCTGCCAATACGCGAAAAAATTTTACACCACCTGGACGGGGCGCGCTGGAGCTGTCCGTATCTGACCAATGTGTCGAAGCAGCCAAAGGTGATGTTTACGTGCTTTCCCGCGTATTGTAAGAAGCGCTGTTGTTTAATTGCGAGGTAGCCTGGGGCGTGTGGTCTGTGGAGGGACGGTGCATCAGGGTGTGGTATTGTCGGTGACAGAGGTCGCACTTGAAGTTCGATGAGCAGTCAGCAGCCCGGTAAGCCCCCAGGCAGCGAAAGCAGAGTTCGTTGTTGATCGCAATTACTCTTCGTTCGGAGTAATGGAGCTGTCTGAAAACCTGACAGTCCAGGATCGAGTGGCTTAGTATCATCTAATTTCATTGGTATGCTTGGTCCTTGAGATCCATGGTATGTGTTTAGGACATCGCAGTCCCATGCAGGCAATGGTGGGGAGCCGTCTTCGGCTCTCCTCGAGTGACTTTATGGTAATTCCATCACCAGTTCCAGAAAGTTCACAAACGGTTGAGCACATTCGAGTATTTTGCACCAAGTTGCTAATGATTTGGTATATTGTTGGAGTATAGTACGTAACTTCAGCTGCATGGCTGTTGTCAAAACACTACATAAATTGATGAGCCTCGAAGTCATACCAGCTTGTAAACACGCAGGTTAGGTTAATGAGTGAATACAAATTTCCAGTTCAACGGAAGCCAGCGAGTTGAAAGTGGTCCCGGCTGAAAAAATATGCATAAATTAGGAATGAATTATTCATAAGCCTATAGCGGAATATCTAATTTTATTTGATGAACACGAGGAATAAGTTCATCATAAAATGTAATGAAGAACTAAACTATAAGAAAATTAAGAACAAAACGTATGAATTTTATGGTCTCTCAATAATAAAATCAAGATGCAGAATTATAATGCTCATTGGCGCAGCATCATCCTACATTACAGCAGAAATAATCCAATAATTTCGACAGCAGAAACTTTGTTTGCTAGGTTAACAATTCTTCGTCTTTAATTAAACTAGCGAACTAATCTTCATGTTTAGGGTTTTAATTTATTTATCGTTTAAAGCTAGCGCATTCAATTTTATTCTTCTTGATACAGACTATTACTACCTGAACGATAATAACACTGAGGAAGAAAGTCGTTAATTGACTCACTGACTACTCGTGGACTTGAGGCTGGACTGAGGTAATAATTCTGTCACTTAAGTCAGCATGCAGCACGGTGCTGCGCAGCAAGCACATGAAGAAGCCAGCATGGAGTGGCGTTAGGCCAGGAATAAGCAGATCGCCTTTAGATGTCACCTGAATAGAAACATTTGAAATGTAATTAATAATATAAATAAAATAATTTGAAAGCTTTAACATGTAATATTCCTGTAATGAGAAATGAGTCATGCTGAAACTAAACCTTCGTTTCTTGGATAAGTCATTCTGATAGCTACAGTAACTGGTCACTTCGCCAGACGGAATACCAAAGAAAAAAATTCGATTGTAAATTTTTTCCGATTATAAATTGAAATCAAATGAATGAGAACTGACGGTAAAGTTGGTTGGCTGCTCCTGGAATAACCACGTGACTGCCATGTGGTCGCCCCGGTAGCGGCACGGCAACGTCAGGTTGGTTCCGACCGGCGCAACAACCACCTAGAAGAAGAACAAAAGTTACGGTTAATGAAAGGGTGGTGCCGACTGGCGCAACAACCACCTAGAAACAGAACAAAAGTTACCGTAAATGAACGTGTGGTGCCGACCGGCGCAACAACCTCCTAGAAACAGAACAAAAGTTACCGTAAATGAACGTGTGATGCCGACCAACGTAACAACCACCTAGGAACAAAAGAAAAGTCATGGTAAATGAACGCGTGATGCCGACCGGCGCAACAACCACCTAGAAACAGAACAAAAGTTACTTAAATGAACGTGTGATGCCGACCAGCGCAACAACCACCTATAGAAACAGGATAAAAGTTACGGCAAATGAACGTGTGGTTCCCACCGGTGCAACAACCACCTAGAAACAGAACAAAAGTTACGGTAAATGAACTTGTGATGCCGACCGGTGCAACAACCACCTAGAAACAGAACAAAAGTTACCGTAAATGAACGTGTGATGCCGACCGGCGCAACAACCACCTAGAAACAGAACAGAAGTTACGGTTAATGAACGTGTGATGCCGACCGGTGCAACAATCACCTAGAAACAAAAAAAAAGTTACGGTAAATGAACGTGATATGCCGACCGGCGCAACATCCACCTAGAAGAAGAACAAAAGTTACGGTAAATGAACGTGTAATGCCGACCAGCGCAACAACCACCTAGAAACAGAACCAAAGTTACGGTAAATGAACGTGTGGTGCTGACCGGCGCAACAACCACCTATAGAAAAGAACAATAGTTACGGTAAATGAACGTTTTGTTTGCATTCGAAATCTTGCCATCTAATTCCTTCGCGTTCAAGATTTATTCATGCAACCGGCAAACGTCATTTTTGTAGTAACGAGATTGCGCTTAAATGATTCGCCTAAATTTAAGCCCAATCGTGATTAAATTCGTGATTACACTTAAATAGCTGATTTAAATTGGTATTGAGGCGAGTTTTGTGCATGAAAGGAGTCATTGTGCATGCATAAAGTTTAAACCAGTCGTTATTCATCAAATTTGTATAAATACCGTATTAAAATGCACCTGTTATAATAAACTTCTTGTTGTATTCTATTATTGTAATCTAAAATTAGACGCCCAAAAATGAATGATAAGAATCCAACGTAAAAAACATCAGAAAAGTTTATATTAATTTAGAATTTAATTAATTTACGGCTTCAGACACATGCATGCACGTGACACATTCATAGACTTATTAAAAAATTCTGCCGGAACACTTAAAATTCCTTAAAGTTTCCTGTAATTTTCCAAAAGTCTCACCCGACTGAAGGCGTGGATGCGCGGTAGAAGGCGACGCTGCTGGGGCGGCAGGACGCACATGAGACCGCGCCTGCCATCGTGGTGGGCAAGGTAGCTGCTGTCTGTAAAGTTCATGTACTGCCTAAATTATTACGATCAAAGGCAAGAGTTATTCTTACGATTACAAGAAATATTACGTTTACAATCAAAGGCAAGAAGGTATTCAGTACTTCACAACAGTAGCAGTATTCACTTAAGATTATATCAATTATTATTGCTGTGGAGAAGTAGGGGAATGTGGGTCGACAATCTCTCCAATGGTGTAAAAGTTTCAGAATGATCACTTTTTCACTCGAAGATTTAATTTATGGTAATATAAATAGGCAATGAGAATTTTTTATTTCATGTTCACGGCTGTGATTACTGAAACTATTTTCTGAATATGACGTTACATTGAAGCTTCGCGAATAATATAATTTCAAAACAAAATTAATTCTGCGAAAACCGATTGAATTAGCGAGCCGACGTATTGTTTCCTTTTATAATTGAATTTTGTTACGAAAATCAATAGAATTCTAAAGAAATTGGAAGTTCTAATCAATAACTGGAGCAGATTCTCGACACATTGTATGTTATATTCACCCATTATAAAGACGGAGAAGTGACGGCTGTAGGTACGGCCACTTGGAGACAGCACTAGCATCTCGAATGTGCCCTGATGACAGGGTAAGGTGAGGGTGAACCGTACGTAATATAACAGTATTAAGTTTTAATGTACAGCGCCTTGGATAACTAAAGGAAGCTGCTGGAAAACTATGAAATAATATTGAAGTGGAAATTTGTGAGCAAGATTTACGTCGTATATATAGACTGACTTTTCGAAGTACTTTAGGAATCGGGCAACCAAGTAAACTGTGCACCCAACTTCTTGTCGTTGTAAATGACAATTTATCATTTATCATTCTGAGTATCAAACACAATGCATGACTATGGGATCAAATTCCTGGCAGTAAGTTTAAACCAATGCTGAGCAGTTACCCGATGTCCGTGGTGGGCGCAATCCAAGAAGAAAAACGAGTGAACGTTCTGCCTGGTGGAGCTGTAGTCCGTCGGAGCCACAGGCTCGTGGCCAAGGTCCAAACTGTTGCCCTCGGAGTCTTCGTTCTGTTGGTGCCATTTATTAATAGATTAGATTACTCCTGACCATTCCCATAATTACAGTTAATGGAAATATAAAAAGCTGAAAAAATATATTCAAAATTTGTTGTATTCTTTGCGTAAAGAGAATTGGATAAACATCATCTAGAACAGCCATTCCCAAACTTTTGAAAATGTTGTAGAGATCTTGTATAGATGAAACGTACAAGAAGATTACACAAGTATTCGCGTTTGTGAGCAAAATTATTTTCATTTTATACTACCAAATACGTTAATAGTTCGTGAATCTATTACATAGCATTTTTGAATTCCCGTTCTTACTCCGTCCCCGTTCACACCCCGATAATGTTCGCACCTGGAAGAATTCGCATTCCACTAGTGGTACGGACTTTGTAAATTTTGAACTCAAGTTGAAATCTTAACTCGAGTCCTTCCTTTCTTCGTTCCTTTATAATAATATATCATCCCGCAAAATATTTGTGGAAGTTTCCGCGAATCTCACATCATAAAAGTCCGTCCTAAGCGTCTGCGCCTCCTTCCTCCATCTGATGATAGTGCCCAACGGCGCCCAGACCTCGCAGCGCAGAGCTACGTCGTGGTGTCTATGGACCAGAACGAACCTGGGGGAGCACAGCCGCCCCCAGAGCACCTCGTCCTCGGGGTAGGTTATTATAGCCGTCGGGGTCATTGTTGAACCTTTTGGAGAACAAAAAATAACATTTTTTGTTATATAAAATTAAATTATTACTGCAGCCGAAATGCAATGTCTAGCGCTCAAAAATGTCAGACTTTTTAGCGCATTTTCTCATTGATGGGAAAATGCACTATTGTGCTCGCCATGTCCGTCTGTCTGTCTGTCCGTCTGTCTGTCTGTCTGTCTGTCCGTCTGTCCGTCCGTCCGTGACCTTCAGGTTTTCGTCGACGAGAAAATGAGTACTGAGTTATATTTTTTAATCTATTGTGGCAACGTAAAAAATGTATTTTGTTGCAGTAGGAAGTGTAATTCATACCTTAAATCCAAAAATCTAGATTTAATTCAATATATTAATATAGTTACGACAAACTTATGTGTAAATATCGAACAAGAATCGATAACTCACCTGCTGTTGTGGTGATCACAGAAGTCGAAGTTGGTGGGGATGCAGTGGAGCTAATAGTTTCTCGGTCACCATCATTATTAGTATTATTGACATTATTATCCTCCCGTTCACTGTTCACAGAGTTTAAATTATACTCATTATTATTACTGCGACTATTGTATTCATTACCAGCCGTAGCCTCATCATTAACGGAATGAAGATTGTTGGCTCGGTGTGTATTACTTTTGAAAGACCGCGTCTCGCCGTTGGATAGGTCGTTATAGTTAAAGTTATTCGCACCGTTCACTTCTCGCTTGCTGCGCACTCTGGTGGAGGTATCGTTCCACGAGTAGCTCGTAGCGACTCCTGATAATGATAAGGATTAACTTAGCTAGAATTATAGCTCCACCGAATCTGATAAGCATGAAGACATTATCTATTTCGGATAGAATGTTGGATCAAGGAAAATTTGCTCAATGATTAAATTTAGAGAGACTGGTTAGAGATAGGAGCTAGGTATAGGGAAGGGCACTGTTTGTACTGAAGGGAAATTTAATAGTGGGTTACAAAAGTTGTTTTTCATCATGTAATTGATAATAAATTGAGTGAAAGACTAATAAAGGACATGAATGATGTTCAGCGTTGGCTCCAGAATATATGTAGAAATTTTCCATCATGTTTATTGATAAAAATTGGAAGAAACTTAAAGATAAGTGCAATAAACAATTAATTCAAAGTGGAAATTCGAATTTATCGATTGTAATATGTTTGTGAAATTTGAAAAAATCAAGTCAACAAGTACTGCCATTGTTCTACAAGTGCGATATTTAATATATAGCAACTGTTTCCACATACAATATCGATTTACTGCTATAGATTCAAACAAAAATTTATGAAGTATAGTCTTCAACACTCACTTGTTAGGGCACCCAGCGATTGAAAATTGGGTCGATAATTGTTAAAAAGGACGGAGCTGAGGACGGAAAAACTACCAGGTGGCTGCCCCAGCGTCTGTAAAATAAATAACTTTTGTTGTTAAAATGAATTGAATTCAATAGCATATGTTGCACACCAAGAATATTTTCTCAGAATTACAACCAATATCAATAGTAGTGCAATAAATTACGCCCCACTACCAATTTATACTGGTAGTTTGACACCATTTTATTTTGTTCACAGACCTATGACTAAACACGCTACCAGGTGCTTCGAACCTAACGATTTTAAATGTTTGCAGCAGAGAACTATTCCCATCACACTATTTTCATTTCTCGTATCATTTCATAACCTTCGGCTCATGCAGTTCAATGAACTCTAAAATGACCGCTTCTCTCGCCTTCTGTATTCTGGTAAGCATAAGCAGCTCATTATAAAGTTTAATGAACTTCATTCATTGCTTAATGAACTGCAGTTCAATATCCTTAGCTTACTTACAAATGCACTTCATTTCCACCGACCGTATTATGCGCTGCCGTGACTGTGTGGCCGGCGATGTTGTTCTGAAGCTGAGCCTGCGCATGCATGTCTACTGCCTGACACACCCGCAGCAGCGCGACCAGCCACCATACCAGCAACATCACATCCACCTGTCCGTTCATAGGGTTTGAGATTAAGTTGGTACTGCGTATAAAAGTACTTGTATTAATCATTGAGATTTACGAGCAAAAGAGAAATTGTGAGTTTGTAAAGGCACACTGAGTATTCTGGTAAAAATCTGTTAACAATACCGCGGGAGCATTTGAATATCAATTAATAATTAAACAATAGAAACTCGAACATTCATGAACACCTACACACAGATTTATCTCAAAATAAATTTCTTAGAAGAGTTCCAATATTGGGCATAAATCAATCTGAAACTTCCAATAACTCGGTACAAGTTAGATGTAGCAATCCAATAAGCATGTACTTTCTAGTCGGTCAAAACCCCACAATGGCGCATCATTGTTCTTGCAACCGAAATCACGCTACATGGATTAATAAAAATGTTGCACTTCCCTGTTGACACAACGCGATCTTCCTAAGACATGTTTATGAGAAAAGGCCCGTAAATATGAGTTAGGGTGATTGGATTCAGTGTTTTCAGCTCACTGTTGATATTAGCAGAGATTGAATGGACGAAATGGCAAACACTTGCGAGGGCATCGCTCCTCTGCTGATCTACTGACCGAATTCCAAGATTCAAATGTATGGACGCAATAGCAGACAAGCTCAAATAAGGGATCATTCGAATCATTCATAAGATTTAACTGATATCTTGTTTCGAAATCAGCATGAATTCTGAATTTTGACTGATGATTAAACACAAGTTAAAATTTTCTCTTAAATATTTTTTTCTCTTCTTAAATTTTGTAGACCGTTGCCGTTGCAAGAAAAATTATGAAGCGAGATTCTACCTTCTAAATTTTGCTCGGTCGTCTAGCAGTGAAATGAAAAACGTTTACTCAAATGTTTACAAAACTATCACCACATGAATAAGTGGGTTTAAATCAGCTTTCACTTCACAAGTGTCTTTTCAGGAGCTGTTATATTCATTATTTTTCTTTATTTATGTTTAGCTGAGTAGGTGGTAAAAGTAAGGCTAGACGTATACCCATAACTTTAAAATTTAGGTCCTGATGTTCTTGGAAACAATACAATTACAGTTCAGCTACCCGTAAAATTTGAGAAAATCGGCCAAGTCATGAGGACAAAGCTTGAAAGCTTACGCATTCACAAATGAGATTTTTATGTTGCAAGTTCTTTCGGCAGTACTGCATTGTAACATTAAAATTTCAGCACGCTTGTATTAACGAACTTCAATTATTTTAGGCGCAAGATTGCCTAATCAGAAAAGTAACTGAACAATCTAGCCGTTTGTGCTTAGTGTCGATACATAAAAACAATTTTTAATTGATTCCATGAAGTATATGTTTTTGTCTTTGAATTATTTGAGTAATATGAATTTAAATTCTTTACCCCCGAGGTGAAAACATTTGGTCGCAGTAATCGAATACTCTCTGAAAGGAAGTGAAATAACTAAGAAATAATTTTTATTTTTGTTTCTTAATCCTAATGCTTCTTTGCTCCACTCAAGATCCTGCTTAGTAAATATTTTTATGCTTTGTAGCGGGATTACAACAACGATACTCTTATGATCGTAGGTCGTTATAGGACTTGTATGCAGCTAGAGAGCCTCCAGAAACGTTAATAAAAATTCATGGACTTAACTGCGATAACTTATTGTATTCATTCAGAGTACAATATTGTCTCGGAAAGATGAGTGACAAAGATGAGTATTTTTATTGGGATCTGAAAAATGGAGTTAATAAGATTGAACATCACGCTATAAATTGTCAGACACATCGATATTAAGACGATCCGTCCGACGAGCATTGATTTTAAATTCGCCAAAGAACCTGATTTAGCGAGCGCGTTCGATACAATAATCAAAACAGTCTCATAATGTGGAAAAAACACATAATTTTTACAATACATAGTCATATGACTGTGTAATGAAGTGTTGCTGCAAATTTCCCACTACTGTATGTCAGACTACGAAGTTTAAGTAGGACCGACTCTGACGTGGGTGTTAAATTGAGTATAGCCATCAGATACAATGCCGATCCCGACTTGCGTCCCGGTTCCTCTCTTATAGGATTTTGACTCAGACGCCAGGGTGAGTTGCGTGCTATGGTGTTGAAATTTAGCTTGGAATACTTGATGGAATATCGTGTCTTATGTGTATATGACGACTTGTCATGCGTAGATATTTACTTTTTGTTTTCTGTTGTAGGATCGTGCGTTATTCTCGGATCTCAGTGCTCTAGCTCTCCCCTCGCATTTTGCTCTCCTCGCACCTTAGCTTCCTCCGCATTTAATTTGTTATGTTCGTTTAATTCATATGCCGCACCTCTGTAACATCGTTAGTTTAATTTGCTTAGTTTCAATTTACCATCTATTTTAATAAATTTAAGAAAGTTTGTTTGAGTTAACTATCCGCTCTGTCCAAGCTTTTGCTGATATAACCAATAGAGAAGTTGCATTTAATTTCCGGTCATTGGTGGACGTGACAATTAGACCATTCGAACTTATGAGGTGACGCGATTAATTGGCTATTCGGGGATTCAAGATTAGTTCGTCACAGACTGTTAACATGTATGTTACAATACATGTATGTCACATATGACTGTGACAGACATAGTCATATGACTGTTATCGCACGAAATTCACTGAAGATATATAAAATGGCTTAGTGACAATTTTTAACGATACGAAGATTTTGCCATTCGTTATTAAGTTTCCACTGAAACATCAAAAAATCAGGCGATAATTATAATCGTTAAGAAAAACAAAGAGCTTTGGCGACGAGACGCTCCAGGAAATCAACATAACATCGCGAAGAATTTATTTCAACGCCTCACGCCGGATGCAACTTTGCAGACGCCATGTCTTCTCAAACGAGCGTAGCAGAAAAAAAGCGTCGGCCTGCAAGGACAGACCGCTAACTGTCTCGTTTTCAAGTCATTAGCACAACTTAGTGAATGAGGAGACAATATGCAAGAACGTGAGTAAGTATTTCATCAGAAATTATTCTAATAATTAGTCATGCCATCATTTGTAACTATTTTCTGTTGCATGGTAATGACTCCGATATATGTATGTATTTTGAAAAGTTATCTCTTATTGGCGGAATTAGGTCAGTTAATTTGATTTTTATTATCAGTGAAATGCTTTCTACATTCATTCGTGTCTGTTGTTTGCATGGAAAATATTATAATACTCGAATTTTAAATACGATACTTAGCTTACTGACTAACTATGAAGGTCAAAATTGGCTCGTGAATATAAAATTAGGTTCGTTCCCATGGCAATACTAAACGGCGCGCTATGAGAAACCAAAAAGATACATTTGATAGACCTAATAGCATGAGCAATGTTGAAGAAAAAAAACTACTGATGAACACTCACAATAATTACCAAAGCTGCATCATGATCCTTACATCTCATTTTAGTAGCAAGGTTAATCAAAACAACCAAGAGGTTAATTGAAAGGCCAGCAATTACCGACTTCCGCCGATTATGCATCGATTCGATCTGAGGTCAAGATCGTGATCTTCGAACACGGTCTTCATGAATGTGCAGTCAAATGAAATTCTAAGATTATAAGCTTTTCAGGGTCATGATCAGGCAAGAACAATTCCTTTATTACGCATTATCAAAACTTATTGGTAGCTTTTAACATATCCAGTTACATATTTCACTCATTTCAACCATCGATAAAATTCAACGTAGTCCTGTGGCTACTGACGGTAACTCAAGTTTCTAAATTGATAGATTCTAATATCATTGCATAATATCTTACTAACCATTAACAATGGGCTGAATTGCGAATAGAAAATAACACGTGTTTTGCTCCTGGGTACGCGGTTTCTAATCTGCTGTTAAAATCAATTTCATGAAACGCAGTCTTCGTATGAATGCGCGTACAAACAGCAGATCGTTTTCCTGTTCAAACTTATTAGGCTTCATATAGTTGATCAAATTGAATTTTTAGTATTCAGAATATGATCATCACCACATAAATCCAAAATAATGGTAACTAGCAGTGCCTATCATTCTCACAGTCATATTTAACAACTAAAATAGAGTTGGATACAACAAAATCACCCGAAAGGTACACATTCAGCTGTTTAATAATTTCCTAGTGCAGCACTCACCAAAATTCTGAATCACTTAACTACCTCCCAACGAATAAATGATACGACACTTTTAAATATTGTTTATTACTCACATAGGTTCGAAGAGTGGGTTTATATTGGTGGCATTTTAAACTTGAGGACGAAACTCAACCATTTTTGAGTTTCCTATGAAAAGTTTTTCTACTTCTTCAAGTTTTGTAATGTTCGTTGATTTATAAAATTATCCAACGTTCCAATTCAGTTTGTTGATACACAGTAAACCGACTTGAAGAGTTCGTCTTGACTGATTTTTCTAAACGGTCAAGCTTGAACTTAGGGCAAAATTATCAATTGATCATTGTTTCTAGAAAAACTTTGTTAAACAGTTCTTCGAGATCAATTTCTAGTAATCAGTAATCCTCTTTAAAATATCCCGTAAATAAAAAAACGGCATTAAGGAAATATTTTCTTCGTGTTGTTCAAATCCTGTAATAGTTGCACAACAAAAATTATCTTTTCATTATCAATCATCACAGAACTCAAATGGCAAGTAATCTGAAAATAATTATTTACAGTTAAGAGATTATGGAAATTGAGCGCCATGCGACTAGCAAGTGTGTCGATCATTTATCGCTAATTTGCCGCCCTGCAGTTGCACGAGCGTTGTGTGGTGCGATATGCTGCAGGTTTTTATATATTAATGCTGACCGGGTAAATATTACGTCTGTCCTCTGCGTTGGCGCTCCTGTCTGGCATTTATTTATTTATTATTTATGTCTGGCCTTGCTACTCACGCAGACGCAATTCAATAAGTCAGAATAGTTCATTGGATCCGTTCACAATGAAGGAGGCACACAATGACATTGAATTATATTTTTTATTTTTAGAGAATTTGATGAAAACTTACTGCACTGTCGTAAATAAAT